ATCTATTTATGTGTGTACTGTTTCTGAACTGTTGGAGGCTTTCTCAAGACAGAATGTGCAAATTTGGGCTGGTCTTATGCAACTGGTGTGTCCTGAGTGCTGATATGGATATGATGCTTGATGTGCTGCCATGGCAGCTTTGTGTGTTTCTCAGGGCAGGACTGAGGGCTGGGTGAGGAAAGGACAAAATGGCCGTGCCTGTTGTACACTCTGCAGAGCAGGGATGGGGGCATCTGCTTCACACCAGTGCATGCAGCATGGGCAACAAACAGAGTACCAAGAAGCCATTGTGCAGCAGGAAAACTATGGCTTAGTTGCCAGCACTAAAGTGCAATGCAATCACTCACATGACTGTGGTGGAGGGCTATAGGATCTTTAGAAGTGATAGGCAAGGAAGGAGATTTGGTGGGGTGGCTCTCTGTGTTAGGGAGTGTTTTGATGTGGATACTAGGAAAAAATTCTTCTCAAAAGAGTGGTACTGCATGGACTGAAAGCAGCTGGCAGCCTGCTGTGACTTGTGGAAGTGGTGTGGCACGCTGCAGCTTTTGTTGCACCAGCACAGGCTCCTGTCCCACTGCCCTTTGTGCTTGGCTGAAGCAGTTTTAAAATGATTTTTATGGCAAATGGACTGGTAATGGGGGGTAACTGTCTATGAGCAGGTCTCGCTCCTGGAGCTGCTGAAGGAGAAGTGTGGATGTGAAAATTCAACCCTAAAGATTCTCTGAAGAGCTTGAAGCAGTTTTATCCTTTTACTGGAGTTAGAGCAAGCCTAATTTTCTCTCATTGTTTAGTATACTAGCATTTGCTTTGAAATGCTGCTTTATTGGTTCATTAAATAGCATGACTCTATGTGTTTGCTCTCCATAAAAAGTGTTTCCAAAAAGGTCCTAAAATTTCCTTTTACATCACCTGATTTAAAATAAACAGCAGAACCATAATGTGCTGTAACTATCCTCTAAAGCATAGCAGTAGGGGAGTTTATTATTATATTTCATTAACTTGATAGTTTGGAGGATCAAATGGAAATGTTTACAAATGAAATACAGTAAAGCAGAACTCAGTTACAAGCAATGTATTTTTCCTGGTCCTTTCAATAAATTTATCCTTATGCTCTAATGTAACAGGATCAGCCTTCCAACTTCAGAATGTTTTCATGGTATCATAAGTGGTGAATGCAGTGTTCTATATACATAGCATAATTGATGTTAGACTTGGTCTCATGCTGCCTTGTTTCACTGAAGTCAATAAGGTTACATGGTTAAGTGAGAGCAAAATGTACTCCTTCCATTTAGACAAAAATGGCAAATTACAGCTCTGATTGCTTTAGGGAACACAATGAAAGTCACAGTAAAATTAAATTATAACTTATGCCTTGACCTGAGACAGGAAACTTAAGAGTGCTTGGGAATTTTACAGAAAAATGCAGCTAGCAGTGCTGAAATTTTGGGCCTGTTTCTTCATTGCATTTTCATCATCTCATACACCTTGTTACAGAACTTGAGACCTGACCCCCTGTGTGATCTCAGACAAAGGGAAAGCAGATTTTTTGTCAAATGACCTAAGTAAAAGTGTGCCCAAAGAGGATTAAAAAATGTAGTTGAAGAGTAAAATTATTTTCATAAGATTTTATCTTTTTCTAACTGGAACTAACAATATTTCATAATAACGTAACAGAATGATGACATTATCACCATACCCATTGTTATCTTAACACCAAATTATTTTTGCAAGTCGGTATGTCACAAACAAGTCACCTGAATAAGAGACTACTTTCTTAACACCAATAGACCTTGGTCAGAGTTTTTTTTTTATTACCCCTGAAGTTTTAATTTAATTGGGTAAATGCTGCACTCTGCACCAGGACAGTGGGATCCATATGATAAAGAGAAGCATCCAATCTCTAAGAAATGGTGCTTGGCAATAGTACAGATCTGTGCAGTCTCCAGGGGACAGACGATGCTCTGGGCATGTGTGGGGTGTAGCGGGCGGGGGATGTGTTGAGAGGAATTTGTGCAGACATCAGAAACTCAGAGAAACTTAGGGTAAAAGAGGCTGTGAGAAGAAGATGGACTGGCGTTGTGTGGAAAGTCACTGGCATAAACGTTGATTCTCAGTAGAGATTATCTCCATGTGTTCAGGTTTATATAGTAAAAAAAAACATTTAGTTTTTAGTATTAGTGTAATATTTCTGCAGAAATAGAAATATATGCATAGAAAAATCTTGGAAAGATAATCTGCATTGACTTACCTTTCCATGACCAGCTACTGCTAGTATCACACTGATGGACCTGGTAGCAAGTAGGTAGGCATATGGCATTGCCCAAGTTTTGCATTCACAAAAAAAGGAGCATGATACCTTTTGGCTCTGATCACTTTCTACTGTGCACACAAGCTGTATGAGCCTTTCTGAGTTTATGCTAATGTATGCACATTCTTATACTGGTAACTTATTTTCTTTCAGAGACTCATAGAACAAACAAATGTCCCCAGCTACTTCTCTGCTTCTCACCTTGCAGAGAACAAATGTAGCCTGGTTAAATGGATCAAAGAAAAAATGGAACTTGGCCACAAGAAAAATAAGTTCTGTAATTGATTGGGTCAAGAGGAGCTCAGGGACACCTCTTGGATGAAAGCAGAATGACATTCATAGCAGAGACGGGAAATTTGATCTAACATTGCTAAAACAACTCAGGGGCCTAAGAGATACAAGTAAAAGGTAAGGTTAGAGGCAAGTGAAGCTGAAGCTGTGAAGGGCCTTGTTTGTTCAAGGCCATGTTTGTTCACAACCAGATAGATGGGCTGCATCACTACAGTTACATTAACCTTTAAAACATGCTTGATACAACCAAGATCTGTCTTCCCCTTACTGGCTTTCCCAGGTGACCCCTTCACCCATCTGGCAGACTCATACATCGGATCAGGCTCCTGGACTGATCTGTTGGCCATCAATAGTGGAAATACATATGAATTTGCAAGAATATGTAAAGCAACAACAATAAAACCAGCCTCATCTTTCAAAACATTAGAAATGCAGGAAATCATGGCTTAAAGTTACAATTTTCAGAGAATTCTCTTACATTCTCTCAGCTGCATCTGCAAAGGTAACTGAATAATATATTCCTTACACAGTAAGAGCAACCCAGAGTGCTACTGATGCTATAAGGAAAAATCTAAAACTGTTTGCCATGTCTGTAATAACAAGTATGCCCTTTACATCCCTACTCCCCATACTAACCCCATAATAATAAAAAAGTTACATCTTTTGGTACAAGTGCTCAGATTCAAGCCCCCAGTAGGATTCTCCTGACAAGCAGAAATTGATGCCGCTGCCTCTTGCTGTTGCTGGGAAACAAGTTATAATGGTCATGGGACACTGGCAGGTGAGCAGAGGAGCTGTGTGAATACTGAGTTCTATTCCCCATTTACTAACTCTTAGGAGGACAACAGCCACATGGAAAAAATCAGAGCAAATGGCTTTAATAAGGTCATGAGATGGAGCAGAAAGTCAGTGCCCACCAAACATAAGCACAGCTCCAGCAAAACCTCAGGGATACCAGTTCCCAAGGTGTCAATCTAACAGATTTTGCACAGCAGTAAGTTAGTAGTGAAGGGGAGGGGAGAACCAACCTTATCAATCCCAGCTTGCAAACTGTGCAGGTATAACAGAGAGTAAAGGATTAGCCCATGCCTGTTAATTAGTCTCACACACGTGAGAAAGAAACGTGACTCACTGAACCTACAGCAAATAATTTGTGTAACGTATTTTTGTGTGAAAGTTTATGTGTCCCCCCATATAAAGAACTATATATAAGCACAGGTATAAATATATATGATTAGTGTTGAATGTCACACTTCATTTTGAATTTTGAAACTGATTTCATTTTTTTTTTTTTGTTCTAACGAAAATTTTAGCTACAAGCAGAAAATGCTCCCTTGTGTGAGATTATACAACCAAACTTGACCTCATTTTTCAGACTTTGGTCAAAATGAAACTAGAGCAATTGACAGCTACAACTTTGCACGATAATTCCTTATTATGAATTTTACCTAATTGGCTATGACTACCCACGTACTTTCAGGTTGTTTGTGTTCTTCTGTTATCTACACTTTCCATTTAAGTAGTATAACAAGTAGTAGTTTTATACATTGCTTTCGTCATATAAAATTTGTAGTTTGTTTTCATGAAAGTGTTAATTCTCTTTCTGTCTGGGTTTTCAGTGGGCCTGAAGAAAGGAATGGCTCAGGTTTTGATTTATTTCAAAATGAGCTTGCTGAGGGCTGGATTCAATAATACAATCCATTTGTCTTAAGCACTGCAAAGCTCATGCCAAAGCCCTGAAAATCAATTTTTGAGAGACAGAGAGAAGTTGCATGGCTGTGCAGAGGTTTGAGCTGTTCAGAACGGCGTTTTTTAAAAAAGCTTATTTTTTTCTTGAACCATTCTCTAAATGGTTATAGATTTTGTTTGCTTGTCTTAATGGGATGCTATCGAGTATTTAAGGCTTTAATATGAATCCTGTAGGCAGAAAAAGTGGAAAATGTTTATAAGCACAAATACGAATGTATTTCAGAATTTAAAGTAAAATCTGATCAAAGTAGATAGATTAGAATTTAAGATCTCTTGGACAGAGATGGAAATTAAACCAGAACTGGGATGTGGCATTACCGAGAAATAGTTCAATGCCGTGCTTCTGTGTTGACTGAATGCAAAATACGAGCAGCATTGCTGTCAAAAAGCAAGTCTGGAACTAAATTTAGGGATGATCTGAGAGGCTGATAACACAGCAGGCACGCAAAGATGAATAAAACAACAAAGATGTTTTTGTCTGGCAGCGCTGCCCTGACCTCTGCCAGCACCAGCTCCTCCCCAGCAGAGCGGCCACTGGCGGCTGGGGCCTCGTCACCCAGTGCAGTGCGAGCTGTGTGCCTACCTGCCAGTTGGATGGATGGCCAATCAGAGCGCAGCAATTGCCTCTCTGGAGGTCTGCGTGCACCCATTGGCCAGCGAGGAGGAATGCGCACTCTGAGGGCTGCTGGCAGTGGCAGCCATTTTGGGGCTCCAGTGTGGCTTTGGTGCCATGAGGTGTTGAGCAGAGGTAGCTTGGTCACCAGCGTGGCTATTCACATCTTGCAGGATTTAGTCAAATTATAGAAGTTATAAAGGTATTCATGTGTGAAATTGTCTCAGATTTGTGATGAAGTTTAAGAATGAAAATGAGAGTTGGGGTCCTTTGAGTTATTCAGCCTTTTCTTCAGCCAGAGAAACTGGTGTCCCGTGAGACAGGCTGATCCTAGATAGGGTGAAGCCTGACTGTGATAATCATGAAAAATAAACACAAAGTCTTACGGATAATATTATGCAAAGTACAGTGAAAAGGAATTATAGTACATTTCTAATTTGCAATACAACAGGGAATATCTCAAAGGCTCCTTTTTCCTTTTGCTTCTGTGGAGCAAAGTCTGGACATTAAATATGTGTGTTGTTTACCTGCTCAATAAGTCCTTAAAATGTTAACATTCAAGTGGGTTTGTTTGAACAGAACAGAGTCACATTCTGTTCATTGGAAGATTTCACAATTCCTGGTGATAATAAAGCTGAAAAATAATTTAAATAGACTTCCATTAAATGTGAGAGAACTAATCCATGTTTCAAGAAATATTTGCATGGGAAGCTTTTGTGTCTGAAAGGTGAAAAAGGAGCTTAAAAGTAAAGAATTATACAGGAGTGAGACTGTAGAAAGCCAATAGGAATTTAATTCTATAAATTCTGTAGGAGTTATGGGGCAAGATTTCAGGTGATAGAAAGTTTTTGTTGGCCATTGAAGTCAAACCCCTGAATTCACGATGCAAGTCTGAAGATTTGCATTTTCCTATTGCATTCCTATATCAAAAAATCTCTGAATGGAAGTCTGTCATCTTGGTTCACATAAATGCAGATTAGATTATGCTGGACTTCCCCACAACCTGCCCAGCTGCCTAGTGTAATGCTGAAGGTCTATACAGTGACACTGCTTGAGATCAGGTGAGGTAATGAGACCCCTAGGCCTAATTTTAAGGCAATGAACACTCAAACTATTCAGAAGAAATAGTGCAACATTTTCAAACCATGAATTTATATGAATTTATTTTCACTACCTAGCACAGCAGATCTGTCATATGGAAAGAGACCATACGGACATGTGCAGAGTGGCACAGCTCATTTACAAGGTTTGCCTGATGTGTAGAAAGCCCATTGTTGCCCTGCATGCGTAATGATTATACATTAATACATATGCATGTTGCATGCACTTGCCAAATGCCTCCAAAAATCTATGACAACCCTTACACTGTTGAAAACAATTAATATTGCTGTGTACTGTTATTTGAAATGGATCTCTGTGTTTGTTTCTTCTGTGCAGGCTGGTAGGTATGAAACTAATGAACGTTTTTAGATCAAAACTAAACCAATGTTTGTACAGGCTAAGACTCTCTCACTACAAGGATTTTACATCTAAAGTGAGACACCTTTTCATCCCATCTCTCTTGCATAAGGGAGATGTATACCATGTTAAAGGTGAAATTTAGCAAATTCCTTGTCTTTTTGTTCCTTGTTCTCTTTATAATTTCTCATAACTGATAATACACATTTTTAGTAGCACTTTGTAAAGTTTTAAGAGGCATGAATTGTAGCACTGGTATTACATATAAATAATGAAAGTTGACATTATAGTTTTCCTAAAAAGCAGCTAAATGGGGAATTCATCAATATACATCATCCTAGTTATGCCTACAACTTGTGAAATGAATAATTTATCATTAATGATTACTGAATAATTTATCATTAATGTAGTCTCTTTCTGTTTGTTCAATATCAATAATTAGATCTTGATTTCTCAATAGTGTGTTTATTTGACAAAATTTCTTTTGTGCTTTTATCTCAAAGAACCACAAATTTTCAAATACTAGGCTATGCTACTTAGCTGAGCCTGATCATATAAGCAAAATCATAGTACTTTACTGTTTCTAGAACAGATTTGTGTATAGAAATTTACCATTCTATTTCTGTGAATACTCATACATTGTTTTGAAATTTGTCTTCTATTTGTGCCAATAAAACTCGGATATGTGAATATTCCAAGGATATGCTAAAGAGTGTGAAGAAAGTCAAGTAGGCGATTAAAAATGTGAATCACAAGCTGGTACTTCTTTGTGAAATTAATAAGAAAATGGTGGACTGAGCATTTAGTTAGTCATTTCCTAATTAGAATATTGAAAAAATACTGGAGATATAATACAGAAAACATTTGAAAAAGGATAAATTACTGTAAGCTTTCTGAATTGTACAGAGGGTACTGAATACATATTTGGATAGATTATACATTCTCTGTTGAGTACAAGTGTGTTTCTGCTGCTCTATCTCCCTTGTGTAAGTAATTTTCCTTCTTTTTGGAAGAGACTGTTTTTGTATTATTTTCCTCTTCTTCTGTGTGATTTAGCAGCTGCATCTCTGACACAACCTTGATACACTTGAACAACTTTGTAATATGGTACCAATAATAGAATATTTAACAGTTGCAGAAGTAGAATAAGTTGTTTGTTGTTGTTTGATTATTTTAAAAGTAGGAATTCTTAACTAGATTATAGACTAAAGGGAAAATATGATTATAACCCAGACCTGGCAACATCTGTTATTACAGATAATAAGTTTTATTTTTTTGCAGAGGGTCCACTTTCCAGTGGCTCTTGACAGCAATGAACCTTGATAACAGCTCAAAAATTAACCTGCTGGGATGTTTTTATTCTGGAAATGTACTGAAATCACCGCAGTGAACTGATTTATGTGTAGACTTAGAGGTGGCTTTACTTTTGGGATTTTACCCTATGGCAAAATTATTTTTTAAACCAAAATTCTTCTATTGGTTTCAGAACATTTTTGATGCTTCTTGAATAAATATTTCATTAAATTGATGTGTGAAATGGAGATATCCAAGTTGGCTAATATTTTATTTTTCATAATTCACTCAGGTGTTATATGTACCAACAATTCTACACATGCAGTCATGAGACAATGATCACTGTCTTCCTACTTTTCCCGGAAACCTCATCTAAAGGACACAATGAGAAGCGTAGCTCACAGCCAGGATGCCTTTGACTTCCTCAGCCACCACTTCATATCAGAAAATCTTAAGAATCAGGTTGGTTTGATTGACTAATATGTATCAGAGAAATATATCACAATTAGGAAGCCCAGAAACAAATGCAACTGTTTCCTGGTCAGTGAAGCATGAGATTAAAGGCTGATGCCCAAATGTGAGAATTTAATTAACAAGATGATTTATGTCTATGGTACAAAAGTATAATACTGCTATTTATGTTACATATTCTAGCACAGCATGGTTCCCATACATGTAAATTATAAAATAGTTTATTATGAGTAATTAAATACTTATCTAGAATAACAATGCACAGTGCTATAAAGAAGTGGAAAATGAGAAATGCAGTGCAGAAGTGCTGCTTATTCTTCAATTTCTGTTGTTTTCCACTCTGAACAATATATACCAAAAACTCCAGTGATGTAAGATACTCTGGGTATTGCAGTTTCATAATTTCGAATAGGTTTGGGGATAAGTTGACTCAGGAGTTATATAGCAATTATATCAGTTATAAGGGCAGAGAGAAAATCTAATGTTCGTAATGAATATAGGGTAGGAAGAGCCTTGTCTTATGCAGATGTTTGCAGCTGCATTGTGCATGGGACATTACTACAATCTATCTCCTAGAATTAAAACAAATAAAGAGCAAATTTACTTTCTTTGTGATATATTCCTAATAGAAACATGGGACATATATTGATTGATACGCATATGTGTAAAAAGAGAGGAAAGCTGAAGATATATCCTGGCCTTTCAAATAGCGTAGGGAATGTGCATTTATATGTACTTATGTGTAAATTTGTGTAGTTGGCCTAGACACAAAAAATAGAGATGTCAACCAGATGTGACCCAGAAGCCCTTAGTGCATGGTAAGCCCTATTGAGTAGCTGCTCTTATTACTTTGAACACAAGATATTAAATACAATTAAATACCTTATAAAAGTGATTACAGAGATTGTGAAACTGTTTTGGTTCAGGATAATGAGGTAAAAAAAGTATGTTTAGAGCAGCAAGTAAATACATTCCATGTTAGCAGACTATCTTATCTAAGCCTGGCCTTGTGATTTCTTTTATCATTGTTTCCTTCATCTTACAGTCATATAATTAAGTGTTCCTAGTTATCAGCTTATAAGGAGGGGCTTTGAATAAAGCTGTTTGGAAATTTGGATGAGGAAATAGCATAATTGTATGCTTTCATTGTTCTTTGTTCTCACCAGTGCTTGTTTCATCCTCACAATGTATCACTGTCTGGTCACTTTTCTTCTTTGCTAGATGCTGTTCTCCTCTTGTCATGACATCTGCTTACAGTCTTTGTTATGGATTTCACTGCAATGTCATTCTTTCAGATGCTGCCAAAGGCTGTTATTTTTGGGGAAAAGTCTATCTAAAAAAAATTCAATTCAGAAGGTGTATAACATGAAAGTGAGCATTAGGTATTCATAATCAGTTTTGAGTTCTGCTAAAATCTGTGATTTTATGGCATGAGACAAAACTTCCTTAAAGAGCGTGTGGTTATTGTGACTTCTCCTGACACTGTTTGCTGTTTTTCAGTATTATGATAGAATTTTGCAAGAACAAGAATCTGGAAGTATCTGTAGCTTCAGTACCAGTTGCTACAGTGCTGCTTTTTCTACAATGTTGGCAGAAACTTAAGTCCATTTTTTTTCTCTTCTGTTACTTTCCTACTTAAAGAAAAAAAAATGCAGTGAAAAATGCAGATTCTGTGGTAAGTTTTTATACCACTTCAACTCTTCCTGTCATAACTTAGGAATGTGTGTTTCTACTCATGGGAAACAATGCTCCAAGCAAGGAGTCACATGGGAAACAATGATTTGCACATTGAGCAGTCTCGACTCTACAGAAGACCTATTTTCAGTTGCTGGTACTACTTGTACTATTCACTATGGCTTATAAAGAAAAGCACAATAAAGAGAATGACCTGTTTCTTTTCTAATTCTGTCTTTCTTTTGCTTCTTTACCCCTAGTTCTTCATGATTTCAAAAACCTCCTACTTACAATTCATCTTTTAAGATTCCTTCTCGAAAATTTATTCCATTAATTAATTAACCAAAAGCAGGTTATTCTTTGTCTGTATATGATCTACATGACTATACAGACAATTTCGTAAACTCGTATTTAAGGTGAAGACAAATAAAAAGATATTTGTGAGGGAGCATAAAACCACAGAGGACACTGAGGACAGACTTTCTTGTTTTAACCAGCCAAAAGTCTTTGTGCTATATAGATAGATAGATAGATAGTCTTTGCAATATATATTTCCCCAGAGATTCACTTAGTTCTTACCAAATGTTCACAATATTGTGAAGTAATATCTATTTTGGATTCTATTTTATAATTTCCAAAGATCTTTGCTATTTCTTAAGTTGCAGAACAAATCAGCATTTTAAAATTTATATTCTTTTTTTTTATTGAATAAAGAATTCTGATAGGTGAGGAAATAGATATCTCCCTGCTGTGGATATAAAAAATGCATCCATATTTGTACTGAACCTCTAGATTTCATGCATGTTCTCATACTAGACTTCTACAACTGAAAGACAGAATAAAGATTTCAGCAAAGGTTTATTTTAAGTGCATTGGTTTTTGAAACCTAAAGTGAGTGTTAAGCTATCAAAATGTTTTATATTCAGCTTTAACACTGGGCATTAATGATGAAAAGGAAATACTGCTGCATTTGTCAAGGTATTTCTGATTGAGTATTATTTATGCTAGACAGGAAGAATAAGAGCTGAAGAGGTAGCTTAGAAATATTTATGATTTTACTAGATTGTTTATACAATCTAATCTGACTAAATTCTTGGTGTTTTTTTTTTTTTTTTTTGTAAGAAATATTTTACAGAGCAACGATGATTTGCAGTATTAATTGTGAAATTCCAAATTGTTCCAGCACCACTGTGACCTCAGTGCCAGACCCCAAACTCTGTAAAGTGTGCGTCCTTCCATAAGACCACGTGATCTTTGAAAAGTCTTTAACATCTCGAAGTAATTTCTGTAAACAGCAGCATGAGTAGTTTGAGCTGCTATTTCCTGGAACTTCACAGTAATTTTTATTTATTGAGCTGTTTTACCACTTTTCTTTCCTCCAGGAAAAGTTTGCTCACTACTCAGTCTGCTTGACATCTAAAGGATATGGGACAGTTATAAATGAACCTTTGGCTTAAGCAGAGACATCAGGCAGAGTGAGAAGGTCTGTACCACTGAACTGTCTGCTACATAAAAACAGAGCTGAATTAATGTAGATTTGAGAGCCAGACTTGTAAAAACACTGTTATGAAAACTTAAATACAATGTAATTTAATGGGGAAGTACAATACACAGGAAACAATAGTGTCTGGAGGGACTGGTACCCAGTAAGGGTTGCAAATGCAAAACATCCATTGTTTCTGTAACTTAGATTTTATTAAAACTCACAGACATTTTGCCACTCATATCCACTGCACTTACATTCACTGCATGGTAAAAGGCGTAAGGCAGGCACAGAACACTTCTGAAAGTCTCACCCTAAATCGTAGTTTTTTATGACTCTGTGGGAGAACAGTTTCAGAATTTCAGACATCCATAGCAAACCAAAATGTTTTCAGACTTGTTGTCAACTGCAATATGCAATGCTGCACAAAGCATGCATTTTAGATCCCAGAATGTTAGATTATTTAAATTTACATTAAACTAATTAAATTAAGCTCTTTCACGTCTGTCCAGAAACAAATGACATTTTAAAGTGACACTCTGGTATTCCTGTATGCTTTTTCCCTAAGAACACGTGCTAGCAATGCCTTTCCTGCTGTTGCAGATATTCATAATGCATTGCTTAGATGACTTAGCCACTGATTACTGGAAAAATATCACAAGTCAGAAAACAAACGTGTAAAATAAATTGAAATGTTCAGCTATAGTGGAAAACAGCACAGGTTAAAATATTAGAAATGTTGAATGTAAGAAAATACAAGTTTGAAATATCACATGCCCTTTTTGCTAAAATGTTGCACTGTAGTCGTCAATTTCAAAGAATAAAAGGTCAAAAGTCCATCAAAAAGCTGAGGAAGAGTCCTACATGTTTACCTTCTTTGAGAGGCAAGTTGATTTTTATGTCATGGACTACTCCAAAATATATTTTAAAATTCCTTCATAAACTTTTATAAGAAGCATGGCTGCATCTTCAGTCTTAGCTTGAAGACCCTGCACTGAGTAACAGATAGATTCTATAAAAGGCTGGAGGCAGCTACAAGTAAAGAACATCACTATCCATCACTGGACAGTGCGGCACCCTAAATTGCCATCACTTTCAGGCACAACTGAAATTACACTGAATTAATGCTTCACAGTGGTGGATGGGAGTTTTGTCTCAAGCTGGTGAAGTGGGACATAGTACACAAAAGGAAGACTGCAAATCTTCCAGGAGTTAATCTGATCCTCACTATACTCAATACACACAAAAAAGAAAAAAGTTAAAAAAGGAAAGAAACAGTCTTGGAATAAAAGCTAATGCTTTCCATTCTCAGATGAGAGAGCAGTAAAGACTACAGAATTCTTCCTGGCCATTTCCAGATCCACAAATTTCTCTGAAGAGTGCAAGTGCTTTAACTGGCTAGATGGAGCCAACACAGGATGCAGAGTACTGAATTTAGGGTCTCTCAAACATATTTCACTTTGGAAAAGCACCCCTCCTGACAAAGATCAGTTCCTAGATTGATGGACTGGATTGAATGCTGGGGCCGGGGCAGAGTACTGATTGAGGAAGGCAGGTCGAGCAGCATGTTTACTGACCTCAATGTGAAATTCTGCATTATGTGGTAAAATGAGCTCTTGGCAACCAGAGTTGCCAATGTCTGAAGAAATGAGGCTCAGTTAAATTATTTGGGAAAAAAAAAAAAGGTAGTTGGTACTTCAATAAATACTCTTCTCTTGTGAAACATTTCCCAGAAGTTAAAACAGCAGTATTTTTAAGATCCATTCATTGTGCTGGAGTTTTTTTTTTTTGCTGATTTGGTCTAAGCCCTTCACATTTAGCTGTTTTCTTTCTA